ACATCTACGAAAGCGGTCAGAAACGTACTCGTAAGGGTGATCTTGGTGATAGTCCTATAGGTATGTACAGTTTTTGTTATTAAAGTTGATCACCGAACTGATCCTGTTTCGCATCTGAAGAGCAAGCTTTATCATTATGCCCTTGGTATTGCATCGGCAACGTTGTCTAAATGGATAGACGAGTACATCCTTGGATGCACCAAAGGATAATCGGAATCACTGGTGCATCCGAATAAACCCTTGTGCATCCAGAGATCACCTGGTACATCCGAAGATGCAACGGTGCATCTTTGAATGCACAAAGATGCACAAAACCCCCCGCCTGCACGTCAACTTTCAAGACACAGAGAAGCGGAAAAGAAAAGAAAAGCCCGTTGTGAAGAATACATACATACTCCAAACGTCACTCATTCACCATAGTTGCCTAATCACAATAGTTCAGCTGTCGGAATATGAGGAATGCCTTGAAATACAGACACAGACATTAACACAGATCAGCACTAAGTAAAGCTCAATGAGAGGAGGCGGTATGATCATTGGGAGAACGATGACCAACACTGTACAATTCAAGACTCTGACCAAGATATTGACACTGAGAATTTGATCAGCATAAGAGATATGGTAAAAGAGATGAAGAATAGGCGATAATGTACGGAACAGTGAAAGAATTGATAATAAAAAAGAGTGACATGTGAACAAGCATGGCTAATCGATTCAACAAAACCATTGTTCACTGGAGCCAAATCTTTTTGAATCGATCAAAAAGCTACGAAGATGCACAAAAGCAAGGAGAAAACGAATCCAACAAGTGTGTGCGACGTGCACCACCCTGCCAAGGGCGATGAGTCAGGCTTATCTGTCCAATGAAACCATTATTCAACTATAACGGTTTTTTGTTGAATCGATAGTCGAACCCATGAGAAAAATTTCAAAGAAACATACATAATATTCAATATGCCCCACCCTGCTACATACATAATGTGGATGAGCAAGGCTTATAGCTCCGAATTCAATGAAACGATCATTCAATTGACACGGTTATTCTTGAACCATTCAAACTGATGACACAGCCGTGAATAATGTAGAGCGATTAAAGAAAAAGGTCAGTGTCATCGAGACTT